ATCCAATTAATAATTAGATATAAACATTAATATTAATAATTGTATATATATAAACATTTAATGTTAATATAAACATTTATTAAATGTGTATTAAAATTAGGATTTTTGTATCAGTAAATAAATAAACTACGTCCAATTATAGTAATTATTAATTGGATACAATAATTATTATGGATACGTAGATATAGGTAACCATTAATTGTATACTTATCTTAGATATGGATGAACATAATTAATGACCGGGCTTTTGTCCACAAAGCCCTCCATTATCTATCTGTCGATTCAACGTCATCGATATTCAATACAGGTAAAATTCGGGGGGTGAGTGTTGTTTTTTATTTATTAATATACTATATTTATGTCCATAGTAATAGTAATAGATAATAAAACTAAAGGCGCATAAAATTCGTCATATGGGCGAATTTTTGTCATTTTGTCATACAAGGAGATTGGAATCCACAGAAATTTCAACAGTATCTTATAACGAATCCTCTGTCTATGATAATACCCTGAGGTTGGCGTTTTCCTTCAAAGGTGTTGCAATGACAATTTTTTATTGAAATATACTTGGTACAGTATGTTTCGAAAAACAACAAAATTAGTATTAGGCCTTTAAACGACTTGTACTACGACAAAAATTGGCCCAATGTAGGATATTTTAATTTTTCAATTTTGTTGTTGTCACCGTATCTATCCGAACGAACATGGTGATGTATATATATTAATATATATATACACATGTATAAATAAATTGATTGGTTTTAGGGAGGTTTTACGTGTTTTTATTAAAAACGCCAATTCCATTGAAAAAATGAATAATCATTTAAATGAAAAAACGCGAAATGAATTATTTATTTATTTATTAAATAAATGTTTTAATTAAAAAATGATTTCTTCTAGGCGCAAAGTTTCAAGAAAGAAATATTTACATTTGAATTGTAAACAAGTGAATTATTAATATTAAATATTATATATATATTTTTTTTATTGTCGTTTGTGCAAAAAATTCGGATAAATTGAAATTTCCCAAAAAAAAAAATCCCGTTTTTCAAATATCTAATATACTAATATAAGCCACACACACTGCTTCTAAATTTATTCGTTCCAAAAGAAAAGAATCATGTGCTATAATAATAATATTTCATTAATTACCTTAAAAAAATGTAAAAATGGCTGGTTTTTTTTTTTATCTCTAACTTTTTTTTCCGATATTTTTACCTAAATTAGGTTCTTTAATAAAACTAGGTTAATATATTAACACTAATTGACTAGATGATTATTAGATAGATGATCACGATTTACCTATTTATCAATTATTTGACGATATGTCATTATCTAACGCTAGCTAAGCTCACCAGATTTACGCCAATTCATAACTAATACGCAATTCGCATTTTTGTGACCATTTTTTAATCCATATTTCCTAAAGTTTCCAAAGTTTCAAGAATGTTTCATTAGTTTCTAAAATTTTTTAAGTAATTCTAAATTCGGTATAATTCAAAAATTATGCTAATGGCATAATTTAATATTATTCTTGGCTTTAAGCAACTTTCATATGAAAAAAATAGTTAATTAAATAAAACCATATTAAAATAATCTACTGTTTATTTACATCTATTATTTATTTATTTACTTACTTTATTTATTAATTGTTTATTTACATTTTCTCATTGTTTTCACTTTAAAAATCATCATGCAATTAAATGCATCTACATTTATTAGGATTAGTTGCTAATTACTTGCTGTATAAATACCATTATTTATTTATGCTCTTTACTTTTTGTTTTGCTTTATTTGCGTTTTTATTTGCGCTTTTATTTTGTTACTCGCTGCTATACTATTATAAGTGTCTAATTACTACAACAACTGCTGATATTGATGATGATGCTGTTACTACTACTGCTACTCATCAATAAATATGTACATGCACCACAAACGCATGACACATTATTGAGAGATGGATTGGTTGATTGATTATAGGTAAACTTTCCGACAGGTTTCTTTCACATTAATGTTCTAATTTTGGAGAAAATGAGAGAGAAGCAAGGAACAAAAAAAAATTTGTTCGGTGAATACCTTTTGTTTATATTTACACTTTATTTTACTTTTAATTTACCTAAAGAAACAAATTTCAAAGAAATCCACTCATCTAGTATAACGTGAAGAAGGAATGTAAACAACGTGTTGGTTTAGCCTCTAATTGGTTGATCGATTGATTGATTGATTGATTGATTGATTGATTGTTATTATTTGCCAGCTTGCTTTTTATTCCGCCCGACTTTTTCTTCTTTTTTCTTTCTTTCATCAAAACCTAAAAACTCAAAAACACTCGCGCCATCCTCTCCATTTATCCAACACCATCCAACCATTATCCAATGCTTAATATCACTGCACACACGCACATACACAAATTATTACCCGATGTATGTACAATTAGATAATAAATTTTCACATATGTAAATGCTTGAAGATTATACAAATATGATTTTTTTTAAAAAAAAAATCTTTTTCAAGGTTTATAAATACAATCCAATTAATACAACGGATTAAGGAATGATTACGTCTTTTTCCTGATCTTCCCCTTTATATATATTCATATTTGTTAATATTGTTCCAAGATTATCATTGCTATTACTCGATTTTGCGTTTGTTCGATCGAATATATAATTGATTTACATGGGTTAACTGCTTGATTTGACTAGTCATTCATTGATCACGTGTATTATATACGCCGAAATACGGATGAATGAACAAAGAAAAGTTTATTCTAAAGAAATTAAACTAATTAAATATCTATTAGTATTAGTCTCGTTTATAACCTCAAACTATTACTCTATACTATGAATAAGTTTCTCACGACAATAACCAACCACTTTGTATTAAATTACATTACATTAATAACAGATAAATTGGACCCTGCACTAACATCTAATTAATTCTCTTTAAAGTTTTTTTTACCAACTTTAGGAATTTGAGATTTATGAAAACTTTGGCTAATTTCGGTGAAATTGACTAAAAAGTCGTTGATTAACTTTTGTTTACGTAATATAGTACATTATCCATCTGGCTTAAAATCTTGTTTTTAATTAATATATATCATTGTGATGATGTGTTTTCTGGGAATGATTAGAAAGAATAAATAATATGATTTTTTATTTATTTTTTGCCAATTACTTGTTTCTGCAAGATTTTTTTTTTATTACCAAGAGGGATTTTCAGTAAAAAAAAAAAATATTTTATTTTAACCCAATAAAAAAAATTTTCAATGATTTTTTATTTTTTATTATTCAACTATAATAATAAATTTCTAAAAAAACTTATTATATTATAATCCTAATTATTGTACATCCCTGCTGCCATCCATATATATAATATATATACTGTAGGTTTTGTATAATGTAATTATAATATACTGTATAATATGTAAATGTATATTATGTATATATTTGTATTCATTCTTTACTTTTTTATTATTTTAATTTATTCTTTTGAGATGCATCATTATCATAAGCTTATATTCACACAATAATATATAATAATCAATTTTATTTATAAAAAAATCTTTTTATTTTCCAAAAAAAACAATTATTAAAAAAATAATTTTCTTTGAAATTAATAAATTATTTATATATAAAAAACACGAAGAAAATTTTCAATTATTATTTTTATTTACACAAATTAAAATTTATAAATTATCTTGAAAAAAAAAAATCACAATTTTTAAAAATTCACAATGAGTTTAACTGCTGAATTAATATCAAATACATCTAAAGATAAATTCACTCTTCAAAAAGTCCCAGTAAGTAATTAAATTTTATAATTATTAAATATATGTATAGTTATTTTTTATTTTGATAAAAAAAAAAACAAAATAAAATAAATAAAAATCTTTTTTTTTCTTTTTTTTTCTTTTTTAAAAGAGACGACGAAGAAGGTTAAGTAATTCAAGTAACAATAGTAGTAATTATAACAGTGGCAATAATAATAAAAGTAATAGCAATAGTAATAATAATAAAAAAATCATGAAACAACAACAACAACAACAATCAATAAGAACGTCTCAATCAAAATTCATTAATAGTAATAATTCATCATCATCATCGCCAAGATCATCACCATCAAATATTTCAAGGATGATGATGACAATGCCGATGACTCCTCCTCTAACAACATATGATAAACACCAACAATTTTATAATCGTCGTCGTGAATCAATATCCTCTTCTCCTCTTCAACACAATCGCTTATCGCCCTCATCGCCTTTAACACCTACAAAATCCAATTGTCATAATTGTCACAATCATAACAACAACTACAATAATAATAATACTAACAATTATATAATTAGTGGTAATAGTAGGCAACACCGTCTTCTTTCTCGTTCTAATTCTCACTCAAAAAGTCCTCACTCAAGAAGCATCAGTAGTCCACAACATTTAATATTACCTAGACATTTCAATGAACATATAGAGAAAAGAACAAGCATGGTATTTGATGAAGAAGAAAATCAAGACGATGAGGAGGAGGAAGAAGAAATGGAAGTAGAGATGGAGCAAGATGAGATGGAGGAAGAATGTCAAGATGTCAATGAATACAATAATAATACTAAATATGATAAATACAATCAATATAATAATTACGACGATGAAGATGATGATGATGATGATGACGATGATATTGATAACGAATATAATCAATATGATGAATATGATCAATATAATCAATATAATCAATATAATCAATATAATCAATACAGTGATAAAAATAATAAATATCCTGACAGTGTTTATAGTGAAGCCTCCGTGTCATACAGTTCATCTTTTGATGACGAAGAGGAATATTTTGATAACAATAATTGTGATAATTACGATAACAACTATAACAATTATAACAATTACAACAATTATAACAACTACAACAATTATAATAATAATCGTAACAATTACAATAACAATTACGACCGCCGTCAAAATAATTATGACAACAACAAATCATTATCGATGAATGCTAAAGCTAAAAGACGAAGATCTTCTTCGTTGAAAAAAGAATTCAACATGTTAAAAAAAGAAATTCACGCTGTGAAAAATAGTCTCACTTCATTACAACAAAATCACAAAGAAATGTTAAATGAGAAAAAGCAAATAGAAATACAATATCAGGAAACAAAAGATGAAGTTGCCAAAACTCTGGAAACAAGTGAAAAGGATTTGCAGGCTTATAATGATTTATTAAATTCCAAAATAAAAAAACTTTCGTTGGAATTGTCATCACACAACAATTCTTCCCCCTCGGCTGATAATAATGACAACGATTCTGATAGTTGTAGTATTAATAGTACCAACAGTAATGATGATTTACCACCAGAATGTAAAACTATAATGAATAATTGTGTTAAACAAGCAAAAGAATTAGAATTGTTAGAATCGGAAATTGAGAAAAGTAAAAAAGATTTTTCAACTTTATTAGAAATTAAAGGACGAATTGAACATTCATTGGAAATAAAGGAAAATGAATATTTGGAAAGAATAAAGGAATGTGAGGCGATCACTGAGTCTCAAACCGGCATGATTGACTCGATGGAAGGTTTATTAAAGGATCTTGTGGGCAAAATGGATCGCCTAAAAGATGAAAAGGCAAGGCGTAAACTAAAACATCAGCATCGTCATTCTTCTTCTTTTTCCATAGATCATCATCATTCACATAAAAAGAGCCGTAATAGTATTAATAATTATAATAATAATAACAATTACAATAATAATAATTTTAATGATCATAAATTACATCGTCGTAATCAATCATCAATAAGTTCAATGCGTACACTCGTGAATAACAATAACGACGACGACGATGATGATGATGATTATATGAGTCAAGGTTTACTACCACAACGACCACAATCGACCCTAAGCAATTATTATTCACACGATGCAGCAAGTATACAGCGATCAAAATCAAGCCTAAACAACCATTATACATACGATCCAGCAAAGGTATCGAATTTACAACGATCAAAATCAAGCCTAAACAACCATTATACATACGATTCAGCAGCGACATCAAATATACAACGAACAAAATCAAGCCTAAGCAATCATTATTTACACGAACCAACAAAGATGTCAAATGCACAACGATCAAAATCAAGCCTAAGCAATCATTCACTCGATCCAACAAACACATCAAATATGCAACGATCAAAATCAAGTTTAAGTAATCATTATGTTAATGATACAACTAAAAAATCAAGAACAAAATCAAGTTTAAGTAATATAAACACTAATATATTTGGCACCATAATGACAAGTTTGAAAAGATCTCAATCAAAAGAAAGTAATTGTAATTATAGCAATTATAGTTCATCGGATGAGTATAATCCATCTGAATTAATGCCAGCTCGTTGTATATCTCCACCTCGGGTATGGATTATTTTACATATAAATTATGCAAATATATATATATATATATATATATATATTATAATGATATTAATATTTATCGTATTTCATTATTCTAGTCAAGAAGACAGTCATATACAAATCCAATATCATTATTCACAGATGAAGAACGCGTTAAACATCAATCTCGTTTTGGTATGTATATTTAATCAATCAATCAATCACTTAAATCATTTATTCATTCGGTCAAACTATAAATCAATTGTTCTAATTCTAATTTTTATCTCCCTTCTTCTTAATAAAGTTTTAGCAAAACGATGGGTCGAAGATGATGAAGTATCAGTGTGTCGACATGCGGACTGTAATACAAAATTTAGTTTTTGGAATAGAAAACATCATTGCAGAAGGTAATTGATAGTTAGTTAATTAGAAAGAGATAATATTTATTTTTTATCAATAAAATTTTTTATTAATAATTTCCCTATAAATTTTAAACAATAGATGTGGTGATATCTTTTGTTATAAACATAGTAACTATTCAATGTTACTGTTTGCTGATGGAAATGAGGATTGGGGTGGTGTATGGTCCAAAGTTTGTGAAGAATGTTATAAAGATAAAGATGATAAAAAACAATAAATCATTTTTATTTATTTTTACTTGATTTCCTTTTTTTTTTTTTTTTTTTTACCCACAAAAAAAAACACCCGTTTATATTTATTTATTTATGTAATTTTATGTATATTTAATTGTATTATATACTATAGTGTTAAAAATTTTTTTGTTTAATTGTATTATAATAATAATAATAAATAATATATACATGGTGCAAACCAGATAAACTGCAATATTAATGCATAAAATAGCTTTTATGAGTGTAATAATGATTTTTTAACTATCAAATAGCCCCATATAAGGTGGTCAATGCTTTTGCATTGATTAGGCAAGTAATTCTTTTAATCTACGCACTGCTTTTCTTTGTAGATAAGATAAAGGGCACAATATGCATTTGTAATTCTAAGACATCATCTTGCAGGGATCTTTCATGTTCCGCAAATTCCCCGGAGTCCAATTTCTCCTTAACTTTCTTAATACATCTCACCTATTTCAGCTCATCGGATTGGCTTAATAATGATAACAATAACAATATGTGCACTCTGGATTTAAGAATCCCGAGAATTGACCAGTTGGACAACAACTTTTCCTTCTTTCCAACCATCAGGACATTTTTATGGTTACATTTTCCTGATATTCTCCCGGGAATGGGCTTTAAGTCTTCTCTTTTACCAGGTTTGGTCTGCTCTTCTCGAACAAGTGACCAATCAATTATGGTCATAAATGTTCCATATATGCGTGTAGATATGAGACATATGTTGAAGCGTGAAAGCTTCTTGTCCATTTAGAATAGATATGGATGTTAAAGCCTTTGGGGTGGGATTCTTCCTTTATGTTGGTTGATTTTCTTTATTAATAAAAATTTTATACTTGCATCACTACTTCAAATAGAAATGATAAAATAAACCTTATAAGGGAGGAGAAAAAGAATAATATGAATAAGAGCCAAGGAATCGGTGAAATAAACGATTCGATTTAAAAATTTTCCTTTCCAATTGTTTAAAGAATTTAAAGAATCGTTTCCAAAAAAATAAAATAAAGCTTAGGTGTAGATTCAGTAGAATAATCTTTTCCATACGAATCTAACATAGGAAAAACCCTCGACCAATTCTTTTAAAAAAAAACTCAAAATAAAGAACAAAATTCAGGTCCCTTGCATTTAGCATCCATTTTGAATTTTTGTAGTATCCTTTGAAAATCATCTCCCTTAAAGAGTTAAAAGGTCAAATTAACTTCCTTTGGAAAGGATCAAACAATCGTAATATTTATTAAACAAATTATTAATAATAAAAATTAACGACGCGTAACTTACTACAATATGCATTGTCACTAATGTAATAATGTTGTTTGATATTTTGAAATGTTGTTGCCATTAAAATGACGCAAACAAAAACACACAAAAAAAATTTTTTTTAATATCTCCTTTATTTCATAAGTTGTTCCCAAGGAGCTAAACTTTTCTTCTACTGAATACAAATTCAGTTCCCACATACTCATTCACCACATTACTTATATTATTAATATCAATAACGTGATACATGATCGGGTAGATAAATTTTAGTGTATAATATAAATATTGATTGATTAAGTTACTTTGCAACAATAAACCTATAATTTTCCATCTTTATCAACGAAAATTTCATTTCTGGGTCCTCGTTTAAAAAAGCAGAGGAAAATAATAGATAATTAACATTTTAATAAAATAAAACTCTGTGATTGAAAAAAAACATTGTCTTTATGTTCTTTGTTTAAAGCGCTTTGATAAAAGCTACAAGTGCAGTGCCTTGGTAAAAGGAGACAATTGTGGGACATTGATAAAAAGCCACGTAGAATATGCTACTGCCATTTCTACCCATTTCCATTAAGGTAATCAAACACTACTTGACTAATTCTTGGTTGGTCATAATATTAATATTATGCGCTTAATTAATAAATACAGATTATCATCAGATCCTGTGGCAGCATAGAAAGGTCTGTTTTGACGAATATTGATTACTTTTGTATGTCCAGTGATTCTCAAACAGAAGATCCAGTGTCAAACGAAAACACACGCCTACAACTTTTTTTATATTTAAATGGATTGTTATATATTCCTTGTTAAACAAATCATCAAGGGGATTTTTGATTACCATAACCAACAGTAATAATCCTTTTACTTTGAGTTCCGAGCTAGATCGTTAATCCTTCCTAAAATTACTTTTACCTCATTTTTTTAAAATCTGTTCAGGTTGAGTTGTATCCCATATTCTAACATTCCCATGAACATATATGTATATGAATATGTTAAAACAGTTATCATTACCATATTTACACTGATATTTCATGTATTTTGTTTATCGTATTTATTTACCACCAGACGCTCGCTATATAACCACTAGGCGAATAATGAGCTACAAAATGTTGTGTATATTTCATTAGCAATGGCCGAGTTCTAAAATTTTGCTGTTATTATATGCATTTTTAATAAAAGATTGATACCAACGGCTAAATTCCCAATGATAATATAAAGTTTTCTCGGAACCAAATTGTCTTCCTTAGATGGTATCAGGTAATACTTTCAAAAGTAATTAATATTAATAAATTAATTATCATATCATCTTTATTATAATTAAACTAGAGTGACGAGTTACCACCACCATTGAAAAGATTTTCTTTTATGAAACAACTGGTATTAGTATAGATTTTTTATAAAGAAATCTTGCGCACGCATTTTATTTTTTTGTTGTTTTACAAAAAATTATATAAAAAATATGAATAGAATTCATATTCATTATTTTTTTTGATTGTTCATGTAATAATTTTTTCTATTATTAGATGTTTTATTGGTGTCTTTTCTTTTATAAATTTTTTTTTTGGCCCATTTGTAGTAGCAACAGTGGCATCATCATCACCACCACCATCATTATTTTCCTTGGTTTTAACAATAATAATATCAATTTTATTATCATCATCTTTCATTATTATCAAAATTTCCTCATTATTAAGATTAATAATTTCTTTATTAATTATTTTTGAAATTGATTTTCTGTTGTTTTCTCCTGGGGCATTCCAATTATAGAGTGTTGTTGATGATTGTGTTAAAGAAGATCAATATCCAATTCGCCACAAAAAGTAACAAATTATTTGTTTTATTAGACATCTTTGATCAATGTTTAAATATCTACAATTAATTTGATATCCTTTATCCTCGGCACCTTTTATCCACTCTTTGACTTTTATCTCTATATATTTTTAATTTTTGACATCATATCAGTCATGTAGATATTTAAAGCACCTAGATGTAAAATTTTAGTTTGCTTTGCTGAGACAAGGCATTCAATAATATATAATCTAATCATAAAAGTTTTACCTTTATTTCATTTGTTTTAGAAAAATGACTTTCCCAGATATTTCATAATTGCACTTTCCACTAACTTATCTACAAATAAGGTATCTGTGAATTTTTATTAAAAAGATGTCATTTTGTTATTGTTATTTTTTTCCACTCTTTTAACGGCCTTAGCTTCAAATAACTGTGGAATTATTTGTTTCTTTGGTGTTAATGATTGAATCAATCACACGAATAGTAGTCAATTTAAATGGCAGTGTCTTTAAGAATGTATTTGAAATAATGTTATTAAATGTATAAAAATTTAATATTGCAAAATTGTTTTGATACATAAATCTCAATCCAAAATCAATCATATTTATATACTTTAAAAATTTCTTTGTTTATTTCTTTGATAAAAAATAAATTTATAAATTCAAATAGATTGGATTTTTAAAGAAAACAACAAAAATCAATCTGGTGCAACATTCAGGATTTTTTTGATTTTTTTCATAAAGTTGGTTGCGTTGTGATAAATACTCATAATGTAATCATACCAGGAAGGGAAGAGAGAAGTCAACATGGCATGTTGATGTTGAGGAGATGTTGAAAATCAACTTTGATTTTTGGGGAAGGAATTTTCTATTTTTGAGAAATGTTAAATTGACTTGCAGATCAATGAATGTATTTATTTCTTTCGAAGGCTATAAAACCTTTCTACTTTCAATGACACCTGATAGCCTTCCGTATTTTCTCTTGCTAGTCTTTTAACTTTGCTTGATTTTTTCTGCCATCTTTTCCCGTGTTAAAACTAACATGAATTTAATCATTATTTACAAGAATAAGAAAAAAATTTTTTTTTTTTGGTCAAAATGTATTATTATCTATTATACCGAGATAAATCGTTAAGAACTATTACTAATGAAGAGAGACTTAACAAACAATTACTTTTTCAACCAATTATCTTAATATTAACAAACAATAAACAATTGCTTTTTCAATCAATTATCTTAATATTAACAAATAAAGAACTATTACTTTTCCGGTTAATTAATGGTGATGTGGCTCATATCAACCAATACAAACCTTGTTATAATTGGTTGTGCACCTGAAATGATTTGTAATAATAAAATGTTGAATTTACACAGCTTTAATTTTCATTGAGGATTTCCATACCTGACTCTTGGCTTTGTTTACATCAATATATCAATATAATCCGCGTGTGACGTAGATCCCATATTGTTATGGAACCCAAAGCAAGTAAGGTCTTAGAACTATATATTTAGAAATTTATTATTGGGAAAATTGGGAAAATTTTTGCGTCGCAAAATTGGAATAAAATTTTTCTTTAGGCAAATTTTTTAAGTATTTTTTTCTCTAAAAATAAAAAATTAATTAGTCTCCTCTTTCAATAATGGCCCCCCATTCTAAAATAGTTTTAGTCAAAGCTTATGCATTAGAGTAAGTTCACATTCATATTTTTTTTAATATAATTGAAATATAAACTCACTAATTTATGATATGTAGCTGGATCATGTGTGTTATATTTGGACTTGGATTCCTTGGAATAACTAGGATAGAGCCTTATCATCGATTATTTTCATTGGAGGATAAATCAATTCAATATACATATGCTGTGAAAGAAACAGTTCCAATGTGGTTGGCAGCTGTTAGTAAATAAATAAAAAGTTCTCTTATATTTCAAAAATTAATTAAT